GAACAGGGTCTCGAGTTCTGCTGAAAAATGTATCTTGCCAAAATGCCACACCTGTCCCTAGAAAGGAGGAAAGGAAGATGTCAACTTGTTATTTAAATCATATATCTATTAATTTTCTTACTATTGATTTTCTTTTTAAGTAAAAAGAATAAGCTTAGTAAAGGAAGACAGACTTGGTTAATATATTACTTACAGAAAGAATGCCCTGGGTTAAGGGTTCCCTCCTCCCCATGAATACAATGGCTCTGCCTGGCCGAAGGCCATTTCTGCTTACAATGGACTGAGAAGAACACTAAGCTTCAGTGATCCAGTGATCCTTAATCAATAACCAGAGGACCTGAGTCAATAACTGGAGGACCTGAGTTACTTAATCAATAACTCGAGTTACAAGTTTCAGGGTAATTACCTGAGTTTGAGGGAGAGGGGCTTTTTCCCAGGGGAAGTAAATAAAGCAATTAAAAGTTCTGTGACTTTAACCAATGTCACCATAAAAGAATTAACTAATTAATTAATTTTTTTAAAAGTTCTGTGAGTACATTTTGTAAATAATGGCCCGTATCAATACCATATAAAATGGAAAGACCAGTGTGGTGTACAGACAAGGTTAAAGTGGAATCTGTAATTCCCAGGTTCCAGAGTATTCTCTTGCTTTTGTCAATGATACTGTCATCATTTATACACCTCCGTTTTCCATACGTGCTGTCAATCTGTAAGAGCAGAACAGATTGTGAAATAGCTGGACAAGAGGCCTGTATTCTGGTTCCAGCAGCTACAAAGCTTGGTTCTGAACCCTAACCAAATAAGTCCAGATTTTTGGTCCATCGATATACAGTCTATGGCTTTGGCCAACTTAATCAGAGGGGCAGTGGCAATACCCCCAGTTGTACATGGGTGGTTTATGAGTAATCTAGAACATTTGATTATTTGGCAGGCGTTTTTCTTAAACACATAGATTTTCTACAAAAGTAGTGCTGGAGTCATTTGCAATTTTCTGAAGAAGTTTAAAAATGCCTCCTATGGAATGGAACCAAAGAGTTTGATTGCAGTATTATTCTGATATGTCACCCAGGAAAGGTATAAAGTCACATCTGTTCTCAATGTACAGGAAAAATTTTTTCCTATTGCCTTTACCTGGGCAAAGGACAGTCTTTGAGCTTCAAACGACTCATCAGAAGAAGCAGAGTGACGATTGTCTTATGGATACCATACCCTGTTGCACATCCATCTTTCATATTCAGTCTACTAGGTGTTCAAATTGACTGGAACAAAGACTTTTTCAGGCTCTTTTGCATTATCTAGATGCTGACATAACCGACAGTCAGATCGATTAGTTAATGTAGCCAGGGCTTGGTAAACTGACATAAGGGGCTATTGTGTCTGTACCTGACCGGTTGAAAAAGAGAGTAAGAGAGAGACACAGTTTAAAATAGAATCCATGGTGGAAACTTAGAGAAAGTAGATAGGGGCAACCACTCTCCAGTAAGTTATCAAAAAAAAAAAAAAAATTAATAAAATTTTTTTGGGGGGGCAGAAATGTTCATTAATAAGAGGAGGTGTGTGTGTGGATATGTGTCTTTAGAGAGTCTTAAAAGCAGGGGCTCGTTGGGGGTGAAGAGGTAGGTAAAAGCAAAGTTTCTTACCTGTGATCTTTGGAAAAGATGTGTACATCATGGCACTGTCTGCTTCTGATAATGTAGGGATGGGGCAAGAGAATTAAAATGTTATTCAAGCCACAATCAGAGACTGCCATATGCTGATCGGCCCTGCAGCCAGGCCAGGAGGACACCTTCAGAACAAAGGAAGATTTCTGCTGGGATGGCTAACAACCCATTTCCTACACCTGTGAAGGGAAAACAGGAACCAACAGTCATTCCCTGTGGCTAAAACCATGGGGAACCTGAGGATTAAAGGCTGGGAAGTGCCAGCAGGCCTTTTACTCTACATATTCTTATCTTTTCACATTGCATACTCTTCTCCTTCCTCACTGTATGCCCATATCAAAGGAAATGAGCTAACAAAGTCTTTTCAACTATAACTCACAGGAACTAAAGAACGATATATGTAAACCGATTTCCCAGAACACTCATAGTCCCTCTCAGTGCCTTTATTCTGTCTCTCTCACCGTCCTCACCTCTTTCTATTGTTCCTCTTGCTGTCCCTCTCACTCTCTGCCTCTGAGAGGAAACCACGCTCTGTCTGTGGAGTGCTATCCCTTTTCTAATAAACTTTCCTTTTGACTCTTACTTAGTCGTGTGTGTGGAATTTCTACACTCTCCGCCAAAGGACCCTCTTCTTCTCTCAGTGCAGGGACTGGTCTCCCCACCAACTCGGGGGAACTTGCCCTGTCCTGCATCACTGAGGATCTGGGAATCAACCCTGGAAATCCTCAGTTTAAGGTCACCTGTAGTGATTGCCTCCCAGTTATCTTGAGAATGAAGATCTGGGCGTGGACTCAGGAGGATTTTTCTTTTATTATGATGGCAGTGTAGGTCGTTAGCAGTACCTCCTAAGGCCCTTTCCATCGAGATGACAGTGCATGTTTTCTGCTAAAGACCTTGACATACGCCCAGTTTCCTGGTCAAAAGGGATGGCAAGCTTGTCAGTCAGCGGGGGCCATGCGTCTTTTACCTTTGGTATACACTTCAAGCACACTAGTTCTTGCATATAAGCTAGTCGTAGTAATAAATTGTTCACTTAAGTTTCCATAGCGTTCACTTAACCCATGAGTTTAAAGATGCCAGTAGGCATTGGGTATCTAAATACTATTTCAAAATGGATTAACTCATATCTTCTATTTGCAGTATTCTGGATCTTTATCAAGGCTGAAGACAAAGCTTCTGGCCATTTAAATCCAGTTTCTTGAGAGATCTTTTTATGTCCAGATTTTCTCATTCCACTTGCCCTAATGATTGAGGATGGTTATGGGGTATGAAATTTTAAGGAATACGCTAGAGTTTTTGCAAGCAGGTGGTTATTTCTGCTGTAAAATGAGTTTCTGGTCTGATTCAATCCATAAAGGAATGCCAAAACATGGAATAATCTCAGTTATTAGTTACTTTACTTGTTTAGTTGTGGCATCAGCACATCTAGTCAGACAGCATTCAGTCTACCCACTAAACATGCAGACAACAATCAAACAGTGATAATAGCCTAAAACTGGGGGCAAGTCTATAAAATTTATCTGGAGTGCCACAAAGGACAGTGTGGGTCTAGGAGGGCTTCCTAAAGTACACTGATTTCTTCCAGAATTTGGTGAATTTACAAGTAGTACACTGGGAAATAACTGGTCAGAAATTTTGCAGATCCCGGGGTAAAAGCAATTATCTTCTAGTTCCTTAACCATTCGCCATGTGCACGTATGTCCCATTTGGTGAGATATAAGTGCAAGCCAAAAAAAAAAAAAAAAATGGAGCTATAGGAAGTTCATTTGGCCAATATATAATTCATTTGATAATTGTTTAACACCCTTTTGTACCCATTCGTCTTTTTCAGATTGTAGGGCATTTGCCTGGTAGTTAATATCAGTCAGGGATAAAAGATTTCAAAACTGGGCAGAGAAAGGATAAGGGGGGTCATTTTGAGCTTCATGTTTTGCAGCTCGGTCAGCACTGTTGTTTCCTGAAGATTCAGTGAGGCTTTGTTTTGTTTGTTGTTGTTGTTGTTGTTTTAGAATGGGCTGAACAATGAACAGTAACAATTTTAGAAGGAAGGTGAATGGTGTCAGCGTAAGCAACATCCAAACCTGTAGAAAATTGTAATGAATTTAGTTGAGCCAAACCGATGACAATTGCCAGGAAGCAAAATTTCAATGGAGTAAGAAAATGCTCCAGACAATGGCAGTTTTGCAGCTTATTTTATACGTTAGAATCAAAGGAGGAGACATCAGGGGGGTTACATGAAATCTATTGGTGGTAGATCAAGGGGGCAGGAAAAAGCAAAGCAGGAACATTTCTGGGATTGAATACAAAGTAAAACAGAGGGACACATACTTCTTTTACATCGGTGGGTCCAGGAGAGTTAATAATTAACATTTACAACACATAGAGATGGTGTGTGGAAAACAAGATGACCATGAGGGATTCTGTGGTCTCTTGCTATGATGCAGTGGGTTGTGTCCTGAGGGGTCTGGAAAAAGGGGATAACTTTGAATGTAGATAGGAAGCAAGAGAACTAAAGTGTTAAATACAGCTGTATTCAGAAACTGCAACATGTTGATCAGCCCTGAAGCCAGGACACAAGGACACCTGCTTCTGCTGGGAACTAATAGCAGGCCTTTCCTCCTACAGTATTCTTACCTTTTCACACTACAAACTGTTATCCTTCCTCACTGTATGTCCACATCAAAGGAGATGGGTTACCAGTCTTTAAACTGTAATTCACAGGATCTACAGAATGATGTATAAACTGGATTTCCACCCCCCACACTCAGGGCTTTTTTCCCTCTTGCCTTGGCTTTTTGTCTTCACTTTCTCTAGTGTCTGTTCTTCCTCTTTAATAAACGTTCCTTTTGACTCTCACTTTGGCATTTGTTTGAATTCTTTCGACGCTCTCCACCAAGAACCCTCTTCTCTCTCAGTGCCGGGCGTGGTCTCCCCCAGCTCGGGGTCATTTGCCCTGTCCTGCTTCACTCTGACATTCCAAGGGAATGTTATCTTAGATGCAAAAAGAGAATAGATAGGCTCACTTAAGGCAAAGATTAACCTTTGTCAAGAAAGCTACAGGCACAGGATTAACTACCTGCTATGACCTACTTTAGTTAGGAATTTTTATGTAGAGATCATTCTATGTGGTTAATTTGGGTCTCTGAGTTTGTAGAGCCCTCCATGCTGGCCTCCGCTGAGCTTGTCAGGTCTAGTGTGTGGCCCCTTTTTCGCCCACATTGGCTTATAACAGGGTAGGATTATATGCCCAGCAGCAATAGGAGTACCTGCAGAAGAAGCCACAGGATTTCTAAATTGTGCCAACAGCAAGACAGACTCCAAAAGTCTATTTAGAGTCTGTGTTGATGGTGGCAGTTTTTACTTTTGCTAATGTGCGAGCTTTAACAAAAGCTCTGAGTTTAACAGCTGGGGTGATTTTACAGTGGGCAAAGAATATGCTTCAAGCTATTCTTTGAAAAAACTATGGCATAACCTATTATTATGTTTCCCTGAAAATTTCATTCACAAGAGCCATAGCAAAATAAAAGCAAGCCTGGATTGTCTAAAGGGATGTCTGAGAGATTCTCGTGGCTTTGAGACCATTTCTATGGTTTCCCGGCAGTCGTGGGGACTAGAGTGGTCTCTCTATCATCAGGAAGGGGTGGTAAAGCAGCTGGACTTAAGGTATTGATTGCTCCTATGTAAGATGATGGACGGGTTAGTTAAAACTGCCTGTTGGTAGGTGGTCTGTTCCTGCCATGTGGAGAGATGCTGAGTCCTATGAACTTGTAAAATAGAGGACACAGCATGGGAAACATAGAAGTGAATGAGGGAGCCTCATGTTAGAGTACTGGCTCCATCAATCAAAGTGGCAACTGCTGCCACCAAAGGTAAACATGGGGGCAAGCCTGATGCCACAGGATCTAATTGGCATGAGGAAAAAGCAATGATACTTATTCGAGAGACTAAAGATTGTCCTAGGATGCCTCCAGCAATCCCATTATTTTCACGACTGTATAAATGAAAGAGTTTGTCAAAGGTAGGTAAGCCAAGAGTTGGGGGTGGGGACAGGGGTTACTACCTCTGAAGGCCAGGAAATAGTGATGCAGGACAGGGCAAATTTCCCCAAGTTGGCGGGGAGACCAAGCCCTGAACCGAGAGAAGAGGGTCCTTTGGCGGAGAGTGTAGAAAGAATTCAACACACGTGCCAAAGTTAGAGTCAAAAGGAAAGTTTATTAGAAAAGGGGTAACACTTCACAGACAGTGCGGTCTCCTCTCAGAGGCAGAGAGTGAGAGGGACAGCAAGAGGGACAATAGAAAGAGGTGAGGACAGGGAGAGAGACAGAATAAAGGCACTGAGAGGGACTGTGAGTATTCCGGGAATTCAGTTTGTATATGTCATTCTTTAGTTCCTGTGAGTTATAGTTTAAAAGACTTTGTTAGCTCATTTCCTTTGATATGGGCATACAGTGAGGAAGGGGAAGAGTATGCAGCGTGAGAAGATAAGAATATGTAGAGTGAAAGGCCTGCTGGCACTTCCCAGCCTTTAATCCACAGCTTCCTCAGGGTTTTAGCCAGGGAGAATGAATGATTGTACCTTGTGCAGGGCAGCCACTTCAAGACTCTTGTTTTTTCCTGTTTCCCCTTCACAGGTGTGGGGAAATGGGTTGTTAGCGATCCCAGTGGAAGTCTTTCTTTGTTCCGTAGGTGTCCTCCCGGCCTGGCTGCAGGATTGATTTAACATTTTTAATTCTCTTTTGTCTCCTACATGAATAGGCTCTGGGATGTTGTCTGGGAGCAGGACATACAGAGGGTTAGCTAGGACTGCAAAATTAGGAATCCAGTCGCCAGCTGCCCCTAAAATTGTACTCAACTGATTTTTAGTTTGGGGAAGAGGGATGGATAAATTGACTCAAGGCGTTTGGGGGTTAGCTTTTGAATGCCCTGAGATATCTCATATGCTAAGTAGGTAACAGTTGTTTTGACCCATTGACGTTTAAACTGGAGGTTTTATGGCCTGGTTCAACTAGTGCCTTTAAGAGGATGGGAGAATATTGAGGGGGACTCACAATATCCCTAAGGTAGATGTCAAGTGCCTCCCTTTAAATGTTAAAAAATAACTGGGAGTCAGAATGGACAGAGATAAAAAAAAAGTGTGCTGAGCAGGGGTCAACTACATAAACCAGGCTGCATCAACAGGGACCGAGGAAAGAATAGGGACCACTGGGTGGCAAGGAATTACAAATGAGTTTGTGGCTCTTAGGTCTTGTATAAATAGATAAATTTGATTTCCATCCGAATCAAATTTACCCTCTTTCTCTAACAGCAAAGATTGATTGGACTGTTGCAGGATGAGGAAGTAAAAATTAACATATTTTGTTTTAAGAGGGAGTCTATTATAGGGTTAATTCTTCACTGCATCTCTGGAGAGAGGGTATTGGGTGGGCTACAGTGGGAAACAGTTTTTATCCTAGTAATGCAAATGAACTCTGCACTCAGTAGCAGTCCAACTTCATTTACATGTGTGGCCCAAAGGCTACTTGGGATGTCTTTTAAATAAATCTCCTCCTCTTCGGAGGAGTTCAATTGAGGATGAATTTCCCATAAAGAAAGTAGGAAGTTTAAAGCTTGTTCTGAAGGCAGAAAAATGAAAACATCCTTTTAATTACAGTTTATAGTGGCCTTAAATTTACATAAAAAATCTCTACCAAGGTTTGCCGCCGAACAACTGGAACTGAGAAAGCCCTGCTAAGTACTGAGAGGGCCCGAAGATTTTGATAGGGGCAATGAAATAGGTCACTCAGAAACTCCTACTGCTTGGATAGAGTCAGAGGTGACGGGCAGAGGAAAATCCTCTGGAAGGATGATAGAGAAAGTGGTACCGGTTTCAATTAAGATACCCAGTTCCTGATCTTCTAGTTTAAATTTCATGGTAGGCTCTGGGGCGCAACTGAGGATCAGCTGACCTTGTCAATTAAGGGAGAATTGGAAATGCAGGAGGATAAAATGGAAACTTGTGGGGTTCTGGGACTTAGAACAATTGCCTTTTAGACTTTTCCAGACTCCTGATTTCTTGAAATAACTGTAAAGGTCTGGAGACAAATTGAGAAGGGAGCTCTAAGTGGACTTAAATTTACTCTCAGAGTCATGCTTTTGTCGTTCCAAAGACTCAAGTTACA